GTTTCCAATAGATATTCACCTCCTTACACACATTCCCATCTGCCTTCCCCACTTCTAGTGCACCTTTGTATTCCTTGTCACATCAAAGAATGATGTTATTGAGTGCAAATGCAGAGGGGGAGCTGTTGCACATGGAGGTGTGTCACCCTCCTATTTGTGGAAGGCTTTTGTTGATAATGATGTCATTATGCAGTAGCACAATTCATGAAAAATCTTGTAAGATTAGGTGGGAGCTCATTAAAGGTCAGTGGCATGCAAATCTCCAAGGCAGATGTGTAAGAAAGATAGCTTAACTGTATGAAGAGGTGAGTATCTATCAGAAATACATTTTCAGGTAAGAAAAATGTTAACAGAAACAAAATGCAAAGATATCTGTTGGTTTACAAAATATGCACTTAAATACATAAACAAGGAATAGAATATATAGATAATGACAAACTAGAAGTCCAAACTAAACTAAACAAGCAGTTGACCAATGGTTGGCTGTAGTAGTGACACAGATAATATATCAGGTCCAGGCAATGCTTTCTTAGTTTGCATCAGCCCCATCTATAGCTGGTGAATTTTCTCTTGCAGTTGGAAGGACAGAGTGCCCCTTTTGAAAATGCTGCTTCAGTGTTAGTATCTGCTGCAAGATGAGTTGTACTGTGATGGTGTAGGTTGGGTCATTGGTAGATCAGTCCTTGATTGTCATTGTGGTAAAGTGGAAAACCTTTTGGGGAACATTCCTCATTCACCTGGAACTTTCTAATTCTTAACATACTACAAAATACAAATTCAAATATTGTTGCATAATATACATCACAATACAATGCAAACATTTAACAGTGATTATCAATGTTAAAGGTACTTGTCTAGTTATGCTGCAGGTTGTCATCCTGTTGATAATGATCAGCAGAATCTCCATTGCTTTAGGTTGGTACCCTTCCCTCAGTTTTGAAACATCACCCTGGTGCCCAGTTGATTCTTAAAGAGACTAGCTCTGAGAAAAATTTTTGAGGCTTCAGAATGTAATGGTTCTGCTGGAGGTAAATGCTCATCTAGTGGAACTTTCTCATGGTAGTTAAGTATTTACTTATGGAAATCTTGATTGGTAAATATGTGTTGTGAATATTGTTTTGTCAGGGGCTTCCTGTAAGCTCAGTCCTGCTTTTGGTGTTGAGTCCCTTAACTTCTTAGTTGATTGTGCAAGTGCATCCAGGGTTGTCTTGGCAGTGACACAAGAAGGTCCACGTGTCAGATGTGTTAGCTGGCAATGTATTCTCATCCATGGGCTCAGTTGCATTGAACATCCAGCCAGAAGGAGCCCTGGGATATATATATATATATATATTTTGTCATATACACCTTTCATTGTGCAACATTAAAGACGGATAACCAAGCTTTTTGAAACTGGATAAACATCATGGTTGGTTGAAGAACAAGATAACCAGAATGAACTAATTAGTTGGAGCATGAGATAAGTTCCTGTCAAGCAAGAGCTGAGCTACGTTTATGCTGCCACCGTGTACCAAACCACACCCAGTCTCTATGCTGGTACATTTGTTCCTGTATTGTCTTATAATATACTTCTTTTAACATGGGAGCCTATCTGTTGATTCGCAAAATTGTGTAAATTAATTAATGCAGGCCTTAACCACTCGCTTGTGGACACACCCAACACTTTACATAATCAAGAAAACAGCTGGCTGTCAAAATTAAATCATGATCTGTGTGGATTTCTGTTATAGTTCTGAACTGGGCTATCCAGTGTTCTGTAAGTGCATCAGCCACAGATTGATGACTTGGCCCACACCAAATAACTAGCCACAAATTTAAAAGTTGTGTAACCCGAAGCTGCTCCAGTTGTTTCTTCTTACTTGTCTTGTATGTTTTATGCCAGTGGATGAAGGTAAGAGTTGCAGTTTGAATGTTGTTGTACATCTTATAATAATAATAATATTAATACTATTACTGCTAATACTAATAAAAGTAATAGTAGGTTACAAGGTTATTTCAGTTGTTTCTTCTAATTTAGCTTATTTGTGTGTGAAATCTCTGCTTTATATATTGTTGAACTCTTTTTTTATAAATTGGCATTTTTTGGACAATGCTTTTGTTATAAATTTACCACACAACATTGAACTCCTCTCTGCCTCTATGCTTAGTGTTTCAGAATGTGTTTTATCTTCTTAGAACCCCCAAGCAGTACATCTGTAAGCTTATAATGGTAGGCACAGCACAGGTACCCCATTATATAGCTTTGTGCTTAACTACAAACTAACAAAACTCTTCTCAAAACATATATGAGGGAATAAAGAATTCTACCAAACTAATGAAAAGTAATAACAAGTTAGTTATTGGAATTTCCCTAGCTTATCTATAACAGGAGCCTATATAATTCTTTTAAGATAGTTAGAAAATGACCTCTTTAGGGATTTTCCAACATTCTCCGAAAGTGATTATATTTACATACATTTTCATTAATTATAACAATAGTGATAAATTATGCATATTCACTTAAGTAAATTTTCGTTTATCTTTGGATCTTACTAGAATAATACCATGTTGGTTTACAACTTTCTTAAGCATATTTCTATATTAGCATGGGATCAGTGAGTTCATTGAGAGGCTTCTTCACAATCATATGTTGATTATAGATCAAAATTAGAAATTGATTTCATATAATTATTTAGAAAAATAATTAATGAAAATATTTTCAGATATACCAATTTAAATAGCCTAACATGTGGATAGGCAACAGTAATTTAAGAAAATAAAAATTGAACTTGGGTTTTTATGATGTTTAATTATAAAGAAAATGAATGTACATTTAATTGGAAAGATTAAAAAAATTATGCTTTTAAAGTACAGTTTCATTGCCCATTTGATGTCATACTTAAAGTTTTTGTTTAACAAAAGAAAAGTTGTTTAACCAAATAGAGTGTTTTAATTGTTATGTTTTATTTAAGTTGTGAAATAACTGCCAATTTAAGTTTCCTGATGTGTATCATTTGATAAAGAATAATGCTAAAAAATATCCAGCTGTTTGATAGTATTTAATAAAGTACTTGATATTTTAGTGCAATAGATGTGGGACCCTCAAGAAAACGTCCTGTAAATATAAAATGTTTAGGTGACCCATAGAATGTATTATAATAAATTGAAACATAATAGTCCTATTTGATAGGACTATTATATTTCAATTTGTTGTTTTGTTGCATCCTTATATAAATTTCTTTAACTTTTTCTAAAGGAAATCCAATAAATAAACTAAACACAAGTAATATAAGACACACTATTTTGTAGACTTTTTCTGGTTCTTATAAAAGAAATTGTCAGTATAATAGTATGATATCTTAGAATTATAGGATCTTTCATTCATGAAATACAGATTTTCCTTAACTTATTAAGAATTACTACACGTACAAGTTTTAATATTGTAAACCCAGAGTTTCTTCCAGGGTTTTAAAATGCCTGCTTTGTGAAATTTTATGCAATCCAGTAATATTTCCATTTATCCGATACAATTTTTTTTACATCCCAAAGGACTGATTTTACAAACACATTGAGATTCTATAGTTTGTCATATATGGTTATTATGATAATATTAAGAACCAATGATTGAAAATGTATGTAAAGTTCTCCTTATCATATCCTATAAAATCTGTTTAGTGCTTTTAAGGTGACCTAAATTATTCTAAACTAGCCATAACCCGCAAAACGTTTGCTGTAGTTTTCATGCCCTTTGCTTGAATTTTCCTTATTCTATCATTTTCATACACGCCATTTAAGCTATGATTTCTTGCAGGCATTGCGTGTTACTGATAATTCCTGGTCTATTTGAAAAAATTTTATGCAGTTAGACAAACTCATGTAGTTGTTATTTTATTTGATAAAACTACATGTAAGGTCAACAATAAAGTAAACCAATGGTATTTATGGTAGTGTACAGAGTATGAAACAGTTATGAGTGTTGAGTGCATGATATAATTTTACAAGTTGAAACAAAGAAACTCACAAAAACAAAATAAAACCCGTAATAAAGAAAAAAACAGCTAAAAGGTACTTATAGCAGTCATGAAATGAACTGAAGCTAATTTTGGCAAAGTAAAGTAATGAAGGCAAACTTAGTTGAATATGCAGAAACATCTGAATACGTTTTCATAGTGATAAGCATATGGTTTTGAATGAATTATGCACGCGTATTTTAAACCTAAATAAATCGAGAAAGCCCACAGATTTTGTATTTAGTGTAATGTTAATTTTTTTAGGAAATTACACGTGAGTTAACTGTTGTTTGTGTTAAATACTTTGTAAATATAAAAATTGAAGTTAGAATCCAATTAAGCTATTATTTTCATTCATTAAATTACTCTTGTTATGAACTTAAAAGAGAATATTTGGTAATTTTGTGTTAGGATTTTCAAATAGCTTCATCAGTGCTACATATAAAAATATAATGTTCATCCTTAACAAATTGGTCAACTTTCATTTCTCTTTTTTCTTGTGTGTTAGAATTGAAATAACAAGCACAACATCCAAGAATTAATTACCTTCCTTTTTTATTTATTAGATATCTCATATTGTTTTAACTCTGGTAGTTACACTGTATATAAGTTTCAAATGAAAATCTGATTTGTTTGTCTTCAGTGTCAACAGTGTCTGACATAAGTTGTTACAAAAGTGCTGAAGATTTTTGGCATGAAGATAACAAAGAATTTTGTGAAAAAGACAGAAAAGATGAATTCAGTGAAACCAGAAGTATGAAAACAACACTTGGATCTGGTGAAGAACAGAATGGAACATCAAGGAAGGCTTCTTATGACACAGATTTACCCTCTAGGCATTATAATGCAAGTTTAACAGTAGATATAAATGTTTCTAAAATCTGGTTGTCATTCCAGTTATTAAAGGAAAATATATGCTACGAAAGAGCTCTAATTCTAAATTCATTTTAATTTCTCAATTTTCAAATGAATATTTCCCTATTGTAATGTTTCTGATGTAGGTCAAATAGTTTTTATAAATGAGTGTCAGTATAACCAACTGAGGCAGTGATGGAATGAAAATTCTGTTCCTTTTTTTCAGGGAATTTTCAGGCAAAATTCTGTGATCTATACAAACAAATGCACACACACACACACACATATTAGTAAAATGATACTAAATTTGACAACATGAAAATATTGAGTTTAAGATGACGCAGACTAAAAGTTAAAATATATAAATTTGAAAGGCTTGATAAGAGTGGAAATGTCATTTTTCTATGGTATTGGTGGAGAAAACTAAATCAAAGCATGTTCCAATCACAAGTGGGCAAATGAAAAATAAAAATATAGGACCTTTGAACAAATACCCAATAGAATTGAAACACTATAGTTAGTGAAGCCTGTAAATGATAGTCTGATGTGTGTATTACAATAGGAAATTGTTTTCAAGGCATAATTTAAAAGGTTTGTTTAAAACATATATTTAGTAAGTTGTAGTTCTATACATTTTGAAAAAGAACTTTGAATTGTATTTATAATTTTTGGATAATTGATACTTGAAACTGTCAGTACTTAGTGAAATTCCATAATTTACAAAATTGAGGGAAAAACATGATGATGCCTTTACTGACGAAACCCTGGTCATGAATAAATGATGTATTTGTGAAATGTACAATTGTCTTGTTTTTCCTCAGTTCTGTAATTTCTGACTTTAAAATGTTATGAAAATGAAAAAATATTTGAATTTGACATCTTCTAAAGCATAATCTGACATAGGGGCTATCTTTGCATAGCTTTTTTAAATTTGAACTGATAGTCTAGAGGGAAGCCAGCTATTAACAGCACTCTCTGCCAACTCTGTCTGCTGATGTGTGACTGAATAATGATATTTGACCATCACACCTAAAGTGCATCCATGGCTTCAAATGGCCATGGTTTTTGCAGCAATAGGAGTTATTGCAGATAGTGTATTAATTTTTGATGTCAGAAAAGCTTGTGTGTTATATTTATTCTGTACTGTTTAGAAATATTTGCATACTCTATTAGAAACTATTGTATTTGATAAAAAAAAGCATTTTCTAATGTTACAGGAGTATCATTATAGCCATTAAAAGAGATATTATATTGTTCATAGGAACCATCTATGTTTTTTGAAGATGGATTTCGTCGAATTGACTTTGTACTGCTGTATGTTACTCCAGCAAAGAGCAATTATGGTTATGTTCATAAGCAAATAAGAGAAGTATTTGAAGAGAATTTGAAAGATGAAGGGTTAGAACTGGAGTATGTCACTGAGGTAGAGAAACAATAATATACTCAAATTTTGAAAAATCACAAAACTTACTTGTCTCCAATACTCTGATTACTTAACATAAATTTGCATGTTTGAGCAATTTCCTGTAGAATTTAAAATTTCAAAACACATATACTTCAAAATATCTTATTACTTAATTATGAACAGTAATATGAGATGAGATTTGCTACCTTCCTAAGCCATTGTGTCAACTATATGTAATGTAAAACTCCATTTGTTTTTGTTGATTTTGCTGCTTTGGAAGGATAAAAGGTAGTTCATGATTTATGTGATTTCACTTGTTATTAATGTAACAATCAATTTATCCTCATAACTTTTCAACCCTAATTCATTGTACAATTGTGGCATAAAGAACAGCAACACATACATCCTAATTCTGAGAGTCAGGTATGTACACAAACAGCCAGTAGCAGCAAGTTACGTTCACTCTAAAAACAAAAAAGAGATAAAGTGTATGTTCAAGTTATTAATTTGAAATATATGATTGCTGTTAAACTTACATTGTTTTAATTAAGTTTAAACATTCCCCATCAGTTGACAGGTATTTCAGCTTGTGGTTCATAAAAACTGCATTAATTGGATTATCCATACTGAGAAAGAAACACGATATGTTCTATGTTTACTTGACATTAGTAAAGAATGTGTTTGGTTTATTTTTTTAGCTCAAATATTTGTTAGAGTGTACGTTTACTTGGAAAAAGGCTAAAGTTATAACAAAAAAATTACACCACTTTTTTCATTGATGTTGTTAAAGGAGTATTTTTGTAATTGTGGTAACTAGAATATTCATAGAATTTACAACTTTGTCTTTATAAGATGAAAGAACCATTACTGACTAATTAGAAATAAAGTAAACATGGTGCATCTACTTTTTCTAATATGAAAAAACAGCTAAAGCCTGCTTTGGTACAATTAAATTGAAAACAAAAGAATGGAAAAAAATTTATGCCTAAAAATTGAATAGTTAACATTAAACAGGTGTTTTGATATTCACAACATTTCAGGCTGGGATCCCCTTCCTCTTGTTATTATTCCTCTAGGAAAGATGGATATATATATGTCAGGTGTCTTTACATGCCTTTAAGTTATTGCACAGTAATAGTTCTTTTGGGGAAGTTGGGTCTAGAATATATTCTTTTTTTTTTGGCATGTTGTTTGACAACAGTCATTATTGAGATCCTGTTTGTAGCATTCTTTTAGATTTTACCAGTGATACTCTAAATTTTAGAATCTGCCTTTGAGCTGTGCCTCTGCTAGCCATCATTTACCATATAATCAGTCCCCAGTGGTGCTACAGGTGGATGACTAATCAGTTACTCACTTTCTCAATTTCTTTGTTATGTGACTATAAAGAATCATATGGCTAAAACACTTATAATCACATTATAAGAATGATGTTTATGTGCTGATGCTGCTGTGACATGTCACCACTGATATGAGTCACATAAACACACAATATTTTTCACACTTATGCATTTCATTCATACGGAATTCCTGATTGTTTAGTGCAATGCTTTCATTGGTAGATTTATGGTTGGAGGATTATGTCACATATTTTTCCAAGGAAGAATATTTGTATAGCAAGATGTTGAAGAATGTAGAGCCAAAGAACACACCATTTCCAGGGAAGCAGATAAACTTGCTCAGTAGAGTGTTTAGGACAGAAATGACCTCTGAAATCACACCAAAATCAGTCTGGATCAACTTGCTCTTCTGCAAAGTGAAGACTTTGATTATGAAAGTGAATCTTACAACACAAAAAACCATTCTGATAAAGTTGAGTATATATCATAGTAAAATTAACAAGATAATAAACAAGGATTTTAACTTCACAAGCCCAAAGTTCACATAATTCCAGCCCCCCCCAGAAATATTTTTGTGTTTATGAGAAAGATAGCCAAAAACAGTATAATCATAGTAATCTCATTTGATCATGTATGTGTGATATTTTACAATGCACCTCCTTTAAACTTCTGTATCTATAATCAATGATAATCGAAATTTGTATTCACATACATTGTTAAAATAGAAATTGTAATGTTGGATTGTAGTACATACTCATGGCCATCAGATTGAGCATGATATGTGATGTAGGAAGTAGTTCCGAGGGCAGTATAGACCCATGAACATTATTCTTATAAAGTGTGATTAACCTTAAGAAAAAGATGCTTTCATGTGAGAGTTTTAGGTTGTTGATAAGGTTTTTAATATCTACAGATAAGTATGTTTAGAAGCACCGTTTTACCCATCTGTTGGGTCTGATTGGTAATTATTTGAGTCTTCATTGATTGGTATGCTCTGCTCAGAATATGTTTGTCCTTTTACCAAACTGTTCCCACTGCTACAGTGTTTGAGAAAAGCATTTCACATCATGGTTCCTTAAAAGCCTTTTCTTTTGTGAAAATGTAGCTGTGTGTTTCTTTAGAAGTAATTAGATATTTAAATGCTATATTGTAAGACTAAAAAAAAGTTCAATAGTACCTACTGTTGAATGGGTCATCTTTTGTCCATAAGTTATTATGACATATAAGATTTTAATGGTTAAGTTGTGTTAATCGAATTTTGCATCTCCTACCAGGAAGATTAAATCAGGGACCTGCCACTCACTAGATGAGTATTCTAACAACTGAACAATTAATAGTAATAATTTTCCATACTGGCCAACATATTCACTTTCAGTTCATGCTGTTTAAAGATTCAGAGGTTACCCCAGCAGAAACTACTAGTAAGTTACTTTTTTTTAACAAGTCAAACTACCATAAAGTAATCTCCTCTAAAAAGCCCAGTCACCTGACAGACCACATGCGTGGTTAATTATAAATATGTAAATAAGGAAAGTGGTCTACAGATGCATGTGTAAAAGTCTAATAAAGTAGCCAATCAGTGTATATTTCCCATTTTATGAGATTTCTTTCAGTTGTGATATTTATTCCTCAAATCAGCAAGCACTGCCTGTGTCCATCCTTATAAATGCAAAGATATAGTTATATCATGGTTAGTCTTCATGTAGACCCCTCTGGTTTTTAGGATCCCCCTGACCCCTGGTCTTTATAGGCTGGGACTTAGAACCAGCAGATAGTTTATTTTTTTGTTTTCAACCTTGTTTGTAACTCAATGGTCAAGAGCAAAGATTTTTTTTCAACTATTACAGGAACATGATATTTGATGTCCATCTAATAGGAATATCATTATCAATTAAATATTGTTTCTTTAACCATCTGTTCATAGCAACTTAACCTCTGAGTCTGTAAAAGATGTTAACTGAAAGGGGATATGCTGGTCAATAGAGAAAATTGTGACCACTTATTGCTGGTAATTAAAAGGTAAAAGACAACTGAACAAGCTTTTAAATGCAACAGATACCAGAATATATCCCTAGATAACTAATTCCTTCAACAGTGGTCAGAATTTGTAACATAAATTGCAAAAACTGTTATGTAGTGTCAGGATTTGTATAGGGTTGGATTCTTTACAGTAGGTGTTTGTGACTTGTTTACAATAAATTTCAACAATAAACGGACAGTACACAATCCACATAGTTTAAAATAATATATATTCAAAACAAGTCAAACATATGTACAAAAATTTGATACACTGTTGTTTACCACAGTTGAATCTAGAGCTTTAAATAATTCTCCTTTTTGTCAAATGTCCACACAGTCTGGTTCAATTACTTTAGGACCAAACTGACAAGATGAATTATTTCTTCTCTCCTCAGTTATCACAACACAATCAGTGATAAATTTACTTATGTTACCCCGTGGGTTACCACAGTTGTATCCAGAGCTTTAAATAATTATCTTTTTTGTCAAAAGTCCACATAGGCTGGTTCAATTACTTTAGAATTATTTCTTCACTCCTCTGTTATTACAATGCAAGCTGAAACTCACTTCAAAGTCACCACTATAACTGTTGGCTACCACAGTTGTATGCAGAGTTTTAAGTAATTGTCTCCTTTTGTCAAAGTTCACACAGGTGAGTTCAATTACTTTAGAACACTCTTTAACAAGACAAATTCTTCTTCTTTATCTCTGTTGTTGTAACTCAAGCTGTGATACTCATTTTGGAAATTGCCTGTTACAGCTAAGATGACAATCATGCAGTCTAACTTCACTTCTTTCATTTTTACTTTCACTGACTTACTTTAACTTACTGTATCTGCACACATTTATAACACAGGGGAGAAAAATCTAGAAATATATAGTTGTCTAGTGACACATAACGAGAAAAACTTAGAATCTTCGAGTAAGATGATGTCAACAATATTACAAAAGCCTAGTACAAAAATTAAACTACATACACAACGTACGACTCATACAGAGTTATGTAACAAAACTTGTCCTAACTATCGCTTTTGAAATAATTAACTTTTAACACTATTGTTACGAAAACTAAATAATAATTAAATATTAAATAAGTAAATAAGATAAATAATAACTCTTAAACAGCACAGTCCTGTATATCCAACATGTGGTACTGACAGTTACTCTCAGGTGCAAACAAGAAAGCACATCGTTTGGGTGATAATAGGGCAATGAATGACTGGAAACATATAATCTTTGATAGGTTGTTTAGGCAGAGTATTCATAATGAATCTAAGTTTCAAACATATAATGGAAACATATAATATGACTTGATAAGCTGGATTTTACCCTTTCTGTAATGACAGTAGAATATATATATATATATAGAGAGAAAACCATGTTACACTTGACCTGCTTGTTTTGTTCCAATGGTACAAATGGCTAAGGTGGATCTATATGTGTGGGGTATTTTCTCACTTTTTATATCCTAAATTCCTTCAAAGAGTATGACAGTGACTTCAGTCTTTTTCTTTAACCTGAACAATTACTAGATTTAAATGTGACTGAGAATCTCTGGTATGAACTTGAACTTCACATTTGCCACTTTAGTTCTCTTCCAATATCATTAAAGCAGTTGTAAATCATATCTGAAGAATTGAAAGTAATTAACAAGACATTTGTGTTAAAAATGATATAATCCAAGATTGAGTGTGGGCCCATGTAAGGTTAATGTATGATATTGCAAACTTTGTGATTTTGCAAGCATGAAGAGAATGTGAAGGAATTTATGTGATACATCTCTTTAATTCCAAGCTAGTGAAATGGCTTAAGCTCTAATATACAGGTATGTATCTATTTAAGTACAATTTTAATTCTAAAATTTAACATGTTTGAAAACTTATTCTAAAATCTTTAGTATAATGTATGAAGATTTTATGTTAAATGTCTTCTTAGCTACCCAAAGATATAGATAAAAAGATGCAGTAATTATAATAATATTTCTTACTTCTGAATAGTCTGTAACCGATCTCAACTGTGTGAAAGTTCATGCTCCGTGGGAAGTTCTGACTCAATATGCTGAACTATTAAAATTTAAAATGTTGATAAAAAAGGTATTTACTGACTGATGTATAATTATTGTTTTTTTCTAATGATCTTGTTTTTATCACATGATTTGTAAAATATTCATTATTTAGATTAATTAGTGATCCTTTTAATCACATATTAACAAGTGGTTCTACTAAAAGACACTGGAAAAAAATGTAAAATTATTTCTCACAACTTTTTGAAACATTTTAATTTCTTTGTTTTGTTTTTTGTACTAGAGTAGTATTATGTAATTTTATTGCAGAGCTTAATGTATTTCAGAATGGTGCATTTACAAGCATAACATAGAACATGAATCAAATTATATATTTAATATTAAAGCTTATCATATTTATTAAAAGGTGAACTAGGCAGGTGTAAAATTTGTTTCATTCATTAATTTTGGCAATCCATAACTTATTTCATTAAGAATTGACACTAGATTTCCTTAAGTTTAGAATTTTATGTTGTATCTGTGAATGGTGGAATTTTATTATACTGTAATGAAACAGGTTAGCACTCAGGTGAGCTT